TGCCTTTTCTCTCAACAGAAATGAGCGGAAACGCAATGGGGCGCGAAATGTCTTCATTTAATGGAATTGCTAGAAGATCAACAGAATTTGTTGATCAAAGTTTTGTTTCCAAAATTAAAATAAAAACAAAAAAACATAATTGTGAGAAGAGTATAAAGTGGATGCGCGATCAGCCTGCTCCAATCTAGGCACATTCAGGGGCGGTATTCTAAAAACGAGGTAGAGGTTAACCAACCCTCAGCTGCGGGTAGGTTAACCCAGAACCCTTATTCCAGAATACGAGTAAGGGTGTTCTGGAATCCCTTATTCCAGAACCGAAATAAGGGATTACAGAACTCACATCTGCGTGTAATCATCTGGTTCTGTGTTGATTTTTCTGGAATAAGGTTAACCCTCAGCTCTGGGTTCTATTACCCGAGTAGGAAGAATTTGGTGATTTAAGTACCACTACTTGCTTCTTAGATTTTTTACAACAAAATTCAGAAGGGTTGGAGTGACGTTTGTTTATATGTGATAATCAGGATACTGATCATTTGGGTTGTATTTACTTTAGGTTTGATAAAAAATATATTAAAGTTGCAAAGTGAAATAACATTCTAATAATTCGGAGAATTATTTAAAAGGAAAAAAGTTGGAATAAGTGAATGGCTCTAAGAATAAAAGGCGTTCAAATGTGATAATAAAATAAAAAGCTTTTTTTCTTTTTAATTAAAAATTTATTTATTTACCTTCTTTTTATTTTATATATTTAGTGGATTTGCGCGGATTTGTTGTTCTGATTGCGCAAGTAAAGAGAGAGAGAGAAAGAGTTTAAGGGAATCCCAAATCTTGTTTTAAAAGATAATTTGTAAATGGAAGAAGAATATATAAAGATAAAATTTGTATTTTAGAAGGAAATAAATAAAAAAATAAATTTTTTCAAAGTAAATCTTAGATTCAATAAAAAAATTAAAGATTTTGAATATTTAAAGTTTAATTTAAAGTTTTTGGAAGGCCAAGAAACCGGATTTCTTCCTGCGAAAATTTTGAGAAATTTGAAAGATACTCAAGCCGAAAATTTTCATTTTAGCGCCGCAGATAGGGGCATAAACGACTCGATTTAAACCGAGTATGTCGAGTAACAAGTTTTCGAGCTCGAGTAATTCGAGTATTATGATCCCGAGTTTCAAGCCGAGTAATTACGCAAAAAACCCGAGCGGTTGAGTCGAATAACTCGAACTCGCTCGACTCGGACAACTCTAATTTAAACTAAATTTTACAATATTTTCTAATACATATATATGTAGTCTAATAAATATTCCGCGAAATTACAATTGTAATTCAAATAAGAATTCAAAACATATTTACTATTCAAAATTTCCTTTATTGCAAAAATTAAAACGAGATCGGAAAAAATATTTAAAATTGAATAAAGAATTAAAAACAGAAAATCTCTCGTATAACACAAAATGTGGAAGGACAATGATGTTATATGTAGATGGTGCTAGAAACTTAAAAAATAAAGACAATCCCAGCCCTTATATTAAAATATGATTTAAATTACAAATTGAATTCCTGCCTCTTAAGTGTCCTACGAGGGATCTTAGAAATTTTTATCAAAAGAATCAGAAAACCTAAGAAATTTACAGGAATTTTTAATGTTTTACGAGTTTAATAAACAATATTTATTAGTAAAATGTATTTATAAAACTAAATTAAACTTTTAATAATTATTTAGTAAAGTTTGAATAACTAATAGAAAATAAATATATACAAATATACATTCTACTAATACAAAAAATATTATAAAAAATGGCAGAGTTTATGAGGTTTGTGATTCATTTTTTTTTTATTTCTTCCAATATTTTTATTTTTTTTATTCATCCACCAGAAGCCTTGTTATGCGTAATTATTTTTTTATTTCTTTTCTCAGAGTTTGAAAAATTTTTGTAAAAAATATTTTTTGAGAAAAATAAATATCGGAAAAGGCTTTAAAAAGAGGTGAATGATGATTAAATAAAAATGTTAAATATTTAGTTGAGGAATGAATTAATCTAAAATAAATAAATATATAGACAGAGTGATCAGAAATAAATGGGGCAATGTTTATTCCTTAAAAGTTATGTTATTCTTCCATGAAAAATTTTTAAGAAGAATTTTTTCTAAAAATTATTATGAAAGATTGACATTAGTGTTGGGGTTTGTTTTCTACCCGGGGCGATGTTCGAGTTATTTTCGGGCCTCATTTTTATCGAACCGGGGCGATGTTCGAGTCATTTTCAGGCCAAAATTCGAGGCCCGGTTCGATCTTTCGAACCGCAGGGCCCCGAACCCTAGTTGGCATGACATGGATCTTTAAAATTGTGAAACGAGTGACTCCTTAAATTCCTTCAATTCAGAAATCCTAGTTTTCAATAAAAACCGCTAGACTGAAATTTAAGGAGAATCATATCTCTGAATGGTTATTAATTTAATCATTTACAATTTATTCCACCAACTTAATCTTTTTGAATAAAGTTATGAGGGTAACAAAGTGTCCATTAGTTTCTGGTCACTCTGTATTTTTTAGATTTATATCGTTGTATTTAGGAAAATAATTATTTGTTATCCAATTATAGATTAACTAAAATGAGTTACAAAATAAGAATTTTCAAAATAATTTTAAATTTTCGAAAAAATGGTGGAATGACAATGAAAGTTTATTTGAAAGAATCAAACAAATAATTGTTGTTAATCACTAAAAGGGTTAACAAAATAATTATTTTTTAAATTATTCTATTTGCGAAATTATAGTAGAGTGATGATGATCGTACAAGAATTAACAGAAAAGGGGTGTGCGGACAAATCGGGACGGACATTCCGGAATGATGTGACAAAAATAATTTCTTGCGTGTTCACGTTTGTTCTAAAACATAAAAACTATTCTTCAATGGGACAATATACTTTCCAAGACCCAGTGGCCGTAGGTTCCGAAATCAGTAGGGTAACTGTTCTTACATTGAAATATCCCGATATGTCCGTCCTAATATGTCCCTCCCGATATATCCGCGTGCCCAGAAAGGGACAAAAAAGTAGGGAAAATAAAAAATATTTTTTTGAGGAAATAGGTATATCTTTTAATTAGCTAAATGACACAGACAGATTTTAAAAAAAATATTTTATTTACAAGTATAAACTTCTGTTAAGTTTCTACAAGTTTCACAAATAACTTGACAACACCATTGGAATTTACAATTGCATTTACTTATTACCTGAAATTTTGGGAAAAAATATTTTTCAAAAATTATTTAATTTACTTCTTCAATGTGACTTTGATACCCTCTATTACAACATAAAAGATCACACGAATTTGGAGCTTCTGGATCAATACTAGAAAATAAATTTTAGAAAATAATTTTTTCTAAAGTAATTACGAGCATATTCTTCCTTCGGTTCCTATAGTTCCGTCTATTTGATCATCTTGACAATAAGTTGGGGATTGATCCTGAAATAATAATTTTAGTTTAAATAATTATTATTCTATAATAGTTTTATAAAAATTCTGAATTTTTGTAGAGTGTCCATTTATTATATAGAAATCCATATTTTTTCCTGAATTCCTATGACTGAGAAATGTACGAAAAACATGTTTTTGGCTTGTTTTAGGGTTTCTGGGATGGTTTGTAAATCCATATTTTCCATATTTTTCCATATTTAGCCTTTATATCCATATTTTTTTATTAATATCTCCCCTTTTTTGAATATTTTGGTCCAGATTTAGTCATTTTTTGCTAAACGATGCAAAGTTAAAAAAAATTATTGTTTTCTACATAAAATACTGATTTCTAAAATATTTTATTAAATTTTGATCCATATTTCGGGATTTTATATCCATATAAATGGACACCCTAGTAATAAATAGACAAAATGTTCGTATTTAGTAACGTATATACTCTTATTAATTACCCCGGGTAATTAATGTTTCAACCTTTCAATGGAGGGGGAAATTAACAAAGGCGAGGTAATTATTTGAGGTAGGGTAATTAATAGAGTATATAGGGTAATTCTGATATATAAATTTTTTTAATTGGACGTAAATACTATAACAAAAAAGTGATATATCCGGAAGTGATATAACCACTCAAAATTTTAGACGTAGAAGATCAGTTTCACCTTATAATCAAAAGTTATATAAATTATTTTGAAAATTAGGTATTATAAATGAAAACATATTGTATCAAAATTTCAGAAGGATATGGCAAGGTAAAACCGATTTGCACCAAAAAATTTGGGTGGCATATCATTTCCGGTTGTTTTAACAACCCTCACACTTATTTTTAAAATTTACCAAATAAACTAAATCTGTCAATGCTCGATTATTATTATTATTATTTCTTTGTCTTCTTCTTTGTTTCTGTTTTTCATTTAAAGCTCTTCGTTTTTGACTTCTTTCTAATGGATAATTTGTTTTTTGTTGTTGGGTTAATGAAGGTAGTATTGGGTCCTCAAATTGCATATTGCCCCGACTGTTGATTTGAATACGTCGGGCAGTACGGTATTTGGCCTGAAATTGCTTTTTAATTTGTTGGATAAATTTAAGTAAGGTTGGCGTAGATGCCCGAAATTTTGAGATTCAGATACTTGTTTAAGGTATCCGGTTATCTTCAAAAGAAAAAGTGCAGAATACGAAAAAGGCTCGTCGAGCGGAGTTAAATAACACCAAAATTATGAGGGGCTCGTAATTCTGGGCTGGGATGCCGAGCTTCTTGAATGAGCTATAATTTGTATATTCACAATTTTCGCCGCAAAAATGATTTCTCTCCATGATTTTTCGATTTCCAAGGGCCCGTATCTCGGCCCAGTGTAGCTAGCGCCTCATAATTTTGGTGTCATTCAACTTCATTCGACGAGACCTTCCGAATGACATATATCTTGCCATATTCATTAATTATGGCAAGATATATGTCATATATGTTAAGATATATGTCATTCATTCTGCACTTTATCTCTTCTAGAAACCGCAAAACTTAAATAAGTTGGAATTATAGGTAAATACAAACTTGTAAAATGTTGCCAATTTGGCGAATTGGAGGCTAAAAATAATTTAATAAATTTAAATTATATTTAAGAAAAAATTAACTAATTGCATCCAACAAGTTTTTAAATTACAAGAACCACTAACTCCATGACATTTACATTTAGGTTTTGTATGTCTTTTTAAAATCTTTAAATAAATAAATTTAAAAATTTATTTATTATTAACCTTCCTTCCAACTTCATTATTCCACCGATTCATTAAAGAACGACCATGACCTTCAGCATCTCGTTTAATACTTTCCTCCTTCTCTCGAACATCCACAAAGTCACTAAATATTTATTTTCATTTCCGTGAATGGCCATAAGAAAATTAAAAGGAAATTTTAACAAGGGTATTGGGGGGGGGGGGGGGGTAACCTAGAGCGGGATAAATAAAGGAAGTCACAACTCTCTCATTACAAAATACTCCCAAAAATTCAAAAATTATTTAAGGCACAATCGCATTCATTACCGCGAAAATCTATATCCATAGTCGATATTATCCCCACAACCTCCCCAAGTCCAGTCATCATTAATATTTTGTTGTTGCGGCCTAGACTCTGCAGCAGCACACCCACAACTTTTAAGCAGCCCGAGACGACAACGACGACCAATTTCATGGGTAACGCCTGCAGACATAATTGCATAGGTAAATGCTGCCTCTCTAGTACCTTAGAGAAATTTTAAAAAATTTTTTAAATAAAAATTTCCTTAATAAAAGATATCACTATCTCTCATTTACCTCTTTTATGCACAGGTCCAATATGCCCTTTCAACTCTCTAGGTGTTGAACAATTCCAGCGGTGATGTCGGAATTGCCATTCACATTCCTTTTAAGTTAAAAAACAAAAACCTTAGAAAGATTAAATAATCCATGAGAATTTAGCTTTGGGGAGGTGAATAAAAATAAGGAAAGCTAATGTGAATAATTTTTGTGAAAAAATTAATTTACAGAAATAGCCTGTTTTGCACCATTTCCAACCGCCGGCATGTGATCTTTGAAGAGTTCGCCTATTTAAAAATATTGAAAATGGAAATTTTATTTAAAATAAATTAACAATTTTTTGACACGGAAAAATCAAGAGACAAAAATTTTTTTTGATTTTTTAGTTAAAATTTTTTAGAATGTTTTTTTTTATTTTTAGAATAATACAGTGCGTGTCATAACGATTTCACGAAGGAAATACTGCAGAAAAAAATTTAGCTTCGAGGGAGGTGATAAAAAGTGGTATTTTTGTAGATTTTTCAGACCACTACTAATGTCGAAAATAGTTATGACGCGTAAGCCTTGGCATGTTTATAAATCACTATTTGTTGAATTAATACTTGAATGCTTATTTAAGTTTTAGAAAGAATAGGATTGTCTTATCACCATTTAATATATTTTAATTAACCCGAAATCCTGAGTGAACCTATAGTTAGGACGCGCACTGTAATACTTTTTGCTTTTTTCTCCCTGTAAATCAGAATATTTATTATAATACTATCCAGAAAAACAGATTTTATTCAATTTTCAAAAACATTATTTTAGCTTTGAGGGAGGATTTAAATTTATTTTTTTAAATTTATTTGAACAACAATTCTTACAAATTCTTTTTTGTCCAGGCGAAAGCCCTTTTAATTCTGTACATTCTGTGGAAGGTGAAGTAGGGTATTGTTGTTTAGGATAATTGTTCTGATTATTTTCTTGATAGTAAAAATTATTTGGATTTTGTTGGTCTTTTAATTCCTCTAATTGTTGTTGTAAATTAAGTTGGCTACTTAACTGGGCAACTGAGGACCTTTGAATTTTTTTTGATTTTTTTTTGCAAATTTAAAGTTGAATTTTGTTAATGATTATTCGTAATTTTAATTTTAGGGTTGATAAAAATTGATAGAATTCTGAATTTACCACAATTATGTAATTTATATTTAATTAAAATTATTTTAATTATATTTCAGAATTTATGAGGATAAAATTCCAGAAATTTTAAAAGAAAATAAAAAATATTTCTGACCACCACGAAACATCAAGCATCGCTTCTGCATTTTTAAAAATTAAAGAAATAATAAATAATAAAATAAAATTAGAGGTATATTGACGTATATATTTAATATTTTTATGAATTTCTTTTGTTGTTTTACATCCCCTATTTGGAGGCATCTGCAGAATTTTGTTAAGAATTCTAAAAAATAAATTAAAATTAAGAAAAAATATTAATTGTAATTAATTTAATAAAAGAATTTAAAAGATTTTATGTAGAGGAAAGAGAAAGATATTCTTTTTATTATTTGAAATTCACATTTTAAAATTTAAAATTTTAAAATTCACACTTTCAATTTTAAATCACTTAAAATTTTGATGGAGGTTCCAGTCTATTAATTATCCTTTTTGTTTTAAAAAGTGAATTTTTTACATTCTTTTCTAGTTCTAGTCAGAATTACGTAAATTCTAAAAAAATATCATGAAAATATTTATTGCCAAGGAATAAAGTAATAGTTTTATTTCATTATCATTTTTCATACAATTTTTTTGTTTTTGGAAAAAAGGAAATTAAAAATAACCAATTTATATAAAAAATTTATTTAAAACCATAAAAAATATTTATAATTTACTTCTTTATTTGATAATAATTTCCAAATTATAATTCCAATTTTCTGAAAGGAACTCTGATTAAAAATGCTAACTGAATAAATCAGGAATTATTAAAGTGTTATAATCGTCTTTAAAAAATGTGTAACAATCCAAAAAAGAATTTAAAAAATATTTTAATTAATTATTTAGACAAAATTTCCCGATACAAATTTATTTTAAATTTTTAATTTGCAACAATTTTGGGTATTAAATGTTATTTTTCGTTACTGATAGTGCTATAATCTGTTGGGAAAATATATTTTTAAAGCCGAGAAATTAAAGTAAATAAATAAATATATTTGGGGACAATAATTTATAGAAAATAATTTTTTACAAAATTACTAGTCAGATTTTTAACTAAAAAAGTAAATTTTTTAGAGTACCTATTAGAGATCGGAAATTTTGAAAAGCCTGGACCTGTTCTTGGTTTAGGGTTTGCTTTATTGACCTGGGCCGGATCCTGGGCCTGTAGTCGAGGAAAAACCCAGGCCCAGGAAAAACCCAGGAAGGTAAAAAAATGCCTGGGCCTGGACTCTGTGTACAGGAAAAACCCAGGCCTTGGTCCAGACACAGGCCGATCTCTAGTACCTATTTTAAATTAATGAATTAATATCCGAAAAATAAAATACCGTATTTCCTAAAATAAAGCCACATGCTAAATTAGAGCCGCACCCTAAAATAGAGCCCCACTTTGGAGGATAGTTCAAAAATAGAGCCCCATGGGGCTTTATTTTAGCAAATACGGTATATTGAATATAAAATTATCTTATTTTAAGTAAGGATAGTTTGGAAAAATAAGGATTGTCGGATAGTTGAAATCCTCGAAAATGCGGATCTAAACATTATTTTAAAATTTTTTTATTAATTCTTAATTTTTTAAAAATTAAACAAAATTACACATAAATATAATTTATAAAATACATTATTTTAATAAAAAATTGAAAAATAAAATATTTATTTATGTAAAGCAGTATGTGTGGTGTAGTAATTTGGATAGCATCGAGAAAAATAGGAAATGAATAAATGTACTAGGTAATGAAAATAAAAGTTAAAAATGGACAGAAATTGAAGGGGAAGAGGGGAAAATGGACTATTAAATATTTATATTGTTTTATTACTAATAAAAAAGATATAAAATTTTTTATCTAATTTTGTTAATTAAAAAATTTTAATATTAATTTTATAAGAGAATTTGTGAAAAATAATTATAAAATTAAGATAATTTTAAAAATACCGTATTTCTGATTAATACCTCATGTCATGTATAGAGTCAACTATTAATTCTATCCCCCAAGTGCACGTTCAACTTTCAATACTCGAACAATTCCTCATCAGACAGATAGGTTGAAATGTAATTAACGAGAAAATACGGCAAAAAATTAATAAATTAATAAAAGGATAAAGGTAATTATTCTTTATTAAAGAGACCGGACTGGGAGGGTAATAAGAAAGAATTGATATTGGCACGGACCGAATTAAATCATACATGGGACTCTTATCAAGTGAATAAATAAACGCCCAAAAGATCTGTAGTATTAATAAAAAAAATTGAGAATTTTCGTCGAAGAAACTAGAATTTTATAAAAATATATTCTGTTATGTAAAATTTTTAAAAAACTAAAAAAATTTTGTTTTTGGCTGTTTTTGTTTAAAAATTCTTTTTATTTGACAAAAAATATAGGAAAAATAAACTATTCTCAATGAGAATAGAAAATATAAAAGAATAAATTGTAAAAAAAGGTGGGAGGACAAAAAGAAAGTCTGCGCCATAAAAATTTTTGGACAAATAAAAATAATAAAAAGGAGATGAATCTGATAAAAAAGGAGTTAGTTATTTTATTGAGAAAATGTGTAAAAATAAAAAAATTAAATAAAAATATATGTAAAATATTAGGCAGGTGGTGAACAGGTGGGTCGGAACAGTCAGAGGTGTCGGAAATCGGAACTGCCGGAAATCGGAAATGGCTCAAAAGTCGGAACTCGGAAATCGGAAATCAAAATTTTTTTTCGGAAATCGGAAGGAAAAAAACGCCGGAAATCGGAAATCGGAAGGCGGAAATCGGAAATAAAGTTTTTATTTTCATAACTGAAATAATATGTAAAAGAATTTATAGAGTTAATAGGGATATTTGGAGATTAAAATTGAGGGGGGTTTTGAAGGGGTTTTCCTAATTTAAAAAAATAAATAAAATGTTAGATTGGTTAGATTTATTTTTAGAGAAACCAAAAAATTCGTAGTCCTTATTAACGAAAAATTATAAATTTAATTAAAGGACTTGTCGGCCAAGTTAAATTTAAAATAAATTAATTTAAAAATTCATTTTGCTTAACAGAAAAGGCTATTTACAAGTTAAAAAAAGAAAAAAATTAATTAAATATTCTTTTTTGCAAATTTTTTCCAAGTTTAAGCTTAAAGTAAAAAACAAAGAAAAATTTCCATGTGAGAAGTTGAGAAACAAAAGAATTGTCATGAAAAAAATAAAATAAAAAAACATGTTTGGAAGGTTGGTAGTACCTAGAGAATGAATGAGGTTAGCTATAACTTAATGAATAAATTTTTTGTAATTTTATTACAAAATAAAATATATTTGGCACTTGAGTTATTTAAAGGGGTTTTACAGATATCCAAAAATGTTTTATATAAAAATATCTTGTTTTCTACAAGCGACACAAAAAATGAAATTACATACTTTCAAAGTCAAATTTCACTTCAGTCAGATTTCTGTTAAAGTTTTTAATATTACCGTAAATGCTCGAATAATCACCCCCTTTAATAATTATCCCCTTTTTTAAAAAAAATTTTGAAAATATTGAAAAAATCATTGCCCATTTTTAATTATGAAACATTTTATTAATCAAAAGCAAAAAATATCTTAATTTCCTCCTCGATTTATTGAGATATACCCCAAATTTAGCACCTTCTCTCGAATAATTACCCCCTCCAGCGAAAAGTCGAAACAATAATTGCCCACGGTAATTATTCGAGCATTTACGGTAATATCGTTGCGGGTTTGGATAAAAATTAATTCTGTAAATAAATGAAATAAAAAATTTTTTATAGAATTTAAAAATAAAGTTTAAATTTTATTTAAGATTTTCAATTTAAATTTTCAATCCCGCTATATAAATAACTCTTCTGTTTTGTTAAAATATATTTATTTTATAGGAGGAAATAAGTTATTAATTACCGACATTTGTTTGTGTGTGTTGTTCGATATCTACTAAATATAATTTTAAAATCTCATTTATTCTTCTCGGGCAATTAATTATTTCCCGTTAAACTGCCAAAATAAAAACCCGTCTATTGTGTGAATTAAAATACTAAAAATATATTTTTATTAAATAAATAGGTATATTTATAAATATCTTTGTTGGAATTTTTGTAAATTTGTCCTTATCTTAGAAACATAAATTTTGATCAAATATTAAAGTGAGTTATTATTTTCTGAGTTATATTTTGTTATACCCGTGGATTGGGGTATACCCGGAATTTGTTCTAGAGTGTAATTACTGATCGAATTCTTCTACTTTTTATAAAGTCGACATTCATGCCTACTTCACTAATAAGTTTTAGAAAAAATTTTCTCATAAAATTTCATACCAGAATTTTTTTAAATTTTTTCGACAGTGCTTTTTTGAGCTTTGGGAGGAGTTGAAATTTTTCGAACGCTAAATCATTTAGAAAAAGGTTAAATAATGGAACAAGGCCTATAAGCCCTGAAAGAGAATTGTATTGGCTACAAAATGTTTATAAAAATTTAAATGAGAAAAAAAGTTATGGCAAAATAAACACTGTGCAGTTACTTTTTTGTCACCCTGTATATTAATTCCGGATATTTTTTTATAAAAATAAAAATTCCTCGGAATTCAATAGAAAATGTTGCTTTTTCTTTAAAAGGAAGCAAAAGACAATTTCAAAAAATAATAAAATGAAGGGGAAATTAATATGGTAATATTACTAAAAATTGTTATTAAAATCTAGTAACTATGCATAATTAATTTATTGAATATATTTAAATAACAATAGAAGATGAATTAAAAAACATAAAAATTTATAGAAAATATTTTCTGTAAAATTTTATAAATATTTTTGGAAGGAGCCTGGTTTTCGACCTTAGTTTTTTAAAATCCGTTTCGAAATTCCCTCCAAAAAATTGGAATTTGGTCGGGAATATATTAATGACAATAACTTTTTCAAAAACTGACTGATTTTGATGTTCTTAATTTTAAAATGAGTCCATCTTGAGCGTAATTTTTTTGAAATTAAACTGACATATTGTCCACTAAGCATGGTTTTGATAATTTAACCGACTGATTTTTAGAAAAATATGAAAATAATCAGAGACACTCTCACGAGGAAAAAAAGAGAGTGGCAATATCAATGTAAAAAATGTTAATTCCAAGAATTTTTAAATTTATGAAGATTATTTGAATTCAGAAAATTGAACAAAATTCTTATAAAATTTTCAAAAAAAGGTTATTTAAACTCAAATAACCCTCAAAGATGGAGTAGTAGCAGAAGGCGCGCCGGAGGCTAATTCGCTCATAGAAGAAGGGGCCAATGAATTGAAGAAAAGGAATGAGTTTAAATGTAAGGGAGAAGTGCTGTTTTGACTTGCGATGAGAAATGAATGAAAATAGAAAAAAAAGGAATTGGGGAAGGGAGTGGGAGGGAAGAGGAGGGAGGGAGAGGAGGAGGGGAGGGGATGGAATCGAAAATAAAATAAGTAAATAGTGATGGATCACATCGGCGCGAAAGGAAATATTTGGACAGAAGTGCAATTCGTGAAGAAAAGGGATGACAGATTTATGGCTTTGGAAAAAGCTAAAACTATGAGAATGATTTTGTTTGTATTTTCTAAAAATTAAAAAAAGAATAACAAATTAATGATAAAAATAGAGAAAAAATAAATTAATTAAAAATTTTATTTTAAATACCGTAAATAATAAATAATGTCCCTCTCTCAAATAATTACCACAGACCTATTACCCCTCTCCTTTTAATCACACCCTCCAGCGAGAGGTTGAAACAATAAAATTGCAGAAATGTGATTTTAAGATTCAATATTTTACTGGAAAAAATAATTTTAAAATGCAAATATTGAAAATAAAATAAAAAATTGTAAGAAAATATCTTAGTTAGGTATACTTACAGTGTGTTAAGAAATTATAACCCCCCTTGAATTTTTTGAGTTTCTTACCTTCCCGATGTCGGATTGTTCTGAAATTTCTGTAGTAGTGTTGTAATGTATATTAAATAATATTTACAAAATAATGTTTTCTTTAATAAAAGTTATCTTCAACGTTGATTAAATTTTTGTTTATAATAATAAAATAAATATTTAAAATATTATTAGGTGCGGACATAATTAGTGGCTAACAAATGATTCGTAACAAATGATTCGGTATAAAAATAAAAAATATTTTGTAGGAAATTAATTCTAAAAACACAAATTAAAAAACGGCCACTAATTATGTCCGCACCTAATAGAATGTTTTTATGTGTGGCATAATTTGCACTAGTCGGAAGATAAATTTAAGAAAACATCTAAATAAACATTTCACAGTGCAGACCACACAATTTCATAAATAAATTTTTGACTATAAAAGCATGAATAAAATTAGAAAATATAAAAATTAATTAAAGCCTTAAGTATAACTCAAACTTAAATAGTTAAAATGTTTATTTCATTATTAGCTATCTTGGCATTGTCAGCCATTATGAATAATGAATGTAATATTTAATTTAATTTAAAAACATAAAAATCTGTTTAGTTACTAACGCAATTGACCAAGCTGGACGTGACGCAGTAGTTTATTGGCACAATTACTTCCGTGCTGAACTAGTTGCAGGAAGGGTTAAAAATAAAACTGGAGAGTTTCTGCCAAAAGCAAAAGATATGAAAAAAATGGAATTTTCTCTAGAACTCGAAAAGCAAGCACAGGCCTGGGCTGATAAATGCACTTATAGTCATTCGGACCCTTATGGGAATTATGGAGAGAATTTTTATGCTTATGCAAGAATGGACAATGATTGTATTTAATTATTTAAATAAATCTTATTTCTCTAAATTAAAGCTGCTGCCATCGAGTATGTAGTAAAAGGATGGTGGTCAGAGTTGGAATACAGAGGAGCTTTGGGACCTTATCCTGGCCAAGACTGCGTTGCATTTGATGCACCTCAAAATAATAGAGGTATTGGACATTGGACACAACTTGCCTGGTATAACACGTATCAAGTCGGGTGTGGAATTGGACGTTGCCCCAAATATACAGGGTGCGGCAAATTTAGCGCCGACTTTGTTTTGGCTATAACTTTTTTAATTTTAATCGAAAATTGATAATTCTTTTTTTGTTTTACACCTAACACTTTAGGAAATCTATTGGTACCAAATAATAAACATTTTGTTTGCGGATATCAATTAAAAACGAGTCCGAACATAAAAACGGGTAAAAATGGATTTTTCATGTCAAAGTTTAATTGATCATAACTTTGTTCAAAATCATCCAATCCGAATAATTTTGGTACCAATCGACTTATCTCGTTCAGGCGTATCGAAATAGCTAATAATCTCATTTTTGAAAATTTCACACAAAAAATTTGTATTTGCCAAAATTTGTTTAATTTATCATTCAGTGAGCCATATCTCGGTCCATTTATTTGATAGACGCCTGATTTTGACGTCATTCGAATCAGATTGGAGAGCTGATTCGAATGATATATAAACTTCATAAATTAAAATAATAGCCTTGAATCCAGGCCATATTTTATCCAAAAATTTTTGCTCGAAATTTGATAGAAAATTAATCAAACTTAATTATAAAATTTAAAAACGATTTTGGTATCAACAATTTTCCTAAAGTGTTGGGAATCCAGGAAAAAAAGAATTATCAATTTTCGTTTAAAATTAAAAAAGTTATAGGCAAAACAAAGTCGGCGCTAAATTTGCCGCACCCTGTAAATCTTATGTTGTTTGCCAATACAAGCCACCGTAATAAATATTTAATTTTATAGTTACAATTAATTATTTTTAGTGGAAATGTTTATACAGGATGTGTTTATCATGCTGGTGAGCCTTGTACAGATTGCAAAGATAAATGTGATAGTAAAACCAAACTTTGCCTTAATTGATGTAAAATTTGATATATTTTATGTACAATTATGTTGAGTGAATAAATTATTGTTAATAAAGATTTATAGTTAAAATTGACTAACATTATTAATTACTAATAATTAAATAATTCTTGTCTGTCTCATTTTTGTTATTTTAACAGAAAACACTTGTTTGGACAGCTTTTGTTAAGTTAAATAGATATTTAGGTTGAAATATCGAGAGACAACAGATTGATGATGAGAAATAGATTATATTCATTATTATTGTTTTTTAAGCACTTATTAGCCAGAATTTTCGAGACTATTTTTCAAAAGTTTATTGACATGGCCAGAAATATGTGTGACTAAACACTTAATTCAAATTACTAAGCAACGGTCATTTGTCCTCTATCGAATGGTAGCACAAAAATTCAAATTAGCATTCAATGGTTATTCTGATAAGTGAAATCTAGCTTCTACTATATTACATATTTATGTACATATATCAGTAATGTTTCCGATTATGAAAATTAAAATGTTGAAACGCCGAATAGGAAATCAAAATTATAATCAAAATCAAAAATTAGAGATCGGAATTTTGTTCCGTACCGTATTCCGTACCGTACTACCGATACGGAATACCGATAAATACCGAAAAAATACGGCCGTAGTACGGTACGGTCCGATCTCTATCAAAAATATGTTAAATTATAGATTTTCAGTACCCTAATGCAAGAAATCTTTTTTCCTGTTTCAGAAAATCACGAAAAATTCTTTTACCTTAATTAAAGAAAATCATTTGACATTTGCACATTTCCGGACAAGTAATTTAGGCTTGGCCTCAAGGAATTTTTGACATTACCGTTGATAACTATCTTTTGGCATTTCCAATTTCGACTTCCGATTTCCAAAACTTTTAAGGATTTACACATTTGCGTATTTAAATATTTTCACACCTTTGATAATACGGTAATTTTAACAATACGGTAATTTTTAATATACATCTATGTTTGTCAATTCTTTAATTAAACACTCTATAATTAGACATTTAAAATCAAGTAAAAAATTGATTTTCTAAAAATTATTAATAAATAGCTAGTAAAAATATGAAGGGAATGCCAATATAGCCCTTTATTTTTATTTATTTTATTTAAAAATTTTGCTATTTATTTTTTAAATAAATTTTATTATTTATTTCTGCTGCTCAAATCCCTCGAATAAATTAATTCCTTCAGCGATTTCGTGCTTTAAAACAAATTTTAATACACTCTGTCCCAAAATTATGAGTTCCCCCATAAATTTCATCATAATGTAGTTCGCAGATTACAAACTCCAAATATTTTTTAATGTATGTTTATTTAGCTTATTATGAAATATATTGCAAGTTTTCAGACAATTTTCAGTATTATGACGAAAATTAAGCCAAAATTTCTTGAAAACCACTGTCCCAAAATTATGAGTTCACCTTATTATTTCGCTTCAAGACATTAGGAAAAATCTATAAAAATTGCAGCAAACATTTACATTGATATCGCGAAAAAATAAAAAAATCTAGGCCCATATCATTACCCAAAGTCGAGATCCTGAACTCCTAAAATCAACGTAAAACAGGGGTAAGGCTCTTTAAAAAATATTTTCGACCTCTTATGGATGATTTTTAATTTTAATTTTGGGCTCATCAGAAAGCCCTTGAAATTTGCTACAAGGTAGGTGAATCTTATTTTTCGGAAAATAAAATTTTAATAAAGGGGGGTAATAATTTGTTAACAATAATTTTTTGGAAAAATGTCAAAAAAAAAGTCTGAGATCAGAAATTTTTAAAGATATTTTGTAAATATATAATTCCAGGACCCAGATTCGACCAAGTCGAATTCGGGGTAAAAATTCGAAATTAAAAGTTTAGAGTTAATCCGACCCGTTATCAAATTTAAATATAAATAAAATATTAAATTCCTTTTTCTTATTTACAATTAATTGTCAGTCAGTCTCTCGGTCGCTGTAATAAATTGAGGAGACTATTTTTTTACTATTTCTTGCCGCAAAACGCAAGATGCTTTTTATGTAGACACATAAATAAGTAAAATAGCTTTTATCTCGAATGCGTTAACAGGCTAAATAGTAATGCTGTGGAGCGTTACGAAATTTGCGTCGAGCTGAATCGAAATTTCGAGCTTTAAAGCATCCATCAATTAAAAAAATGCACTTGATTTTTTGGCTTTTTTATTTAAGCCAATTATTTTATCTATTTTATATTTATTTTCTTTATTTCCATCCATTTTTAATAAAAAATTTAAATATAGTCATGGACAAAAATATAGGAAGGAGCAAGAATAAGTTAAGTAAATATTACCTATTTTTTCAGTTAGAAATAGATATACCCCTTATATGAATTAAAAGTTATATCGGTTATTAATGGGGAGTTAAAGGGATATAGAAGCTATCACAATTGATATTCCTCTTAATCCCCAAATATCAGTGGATTTGACGGATAAAAGTGGATTTGTGTTATATTATTAGATTTTGAACGGATATCGGAGGCTGGCTGGTTGGCCCAGAACGCTCAGGCTTAGGTGTCTTGGGGTACGGGGTTGCCAAACTGTTTCGTGGGGATATCCGAGTGAGGGGAGCTAGTTTGGGTTGGATGGATTACGGGATTTTAATAAAAAATTTAATCCGCTCTGTCTAGATATTTTTGTTAATTTATTAAAAATTAACGAGGATAACGAAGATTAAAGGGATATATGGGGATCTGAAGGGATTAAGGATTTTTAAGGGATATCAGTGATTTAGTTGATATTGAAGGATTTTTGGCATTTCCAATTTCAACGTCCGATTTCCAAACTTTTTAATGATTTACACATTTGCGTATTTAAATATTTCCAAATCTTTGACAGTTCCGAACGAAATCTACTCCATCAAAACTAAAAATTCTAAAACTGTCATTTCATAATTTTTAGAATAAATACGGTAATCTTAACAGTTGATGTTGAATTTAAATACATATATGTTTGTCAATTCTTTAATTAAACAGCTATAATTAGACATTTAAAATCAAGTAAAAAATTGATTTTCTAAAAATTATTAATAAATAGCTAGTAAAAATATGAAGGGAATGCCAATATAGCCCTTTATTTTTATTTATTTTATTTAAAAATTTTGCTATTTATTTTTTAAATAAATTTTATTATTTATTTTTACTACTAAAATCCCTCGAATAAACGTCCAAAAACGTCTAGATCAGAAATTTTTAAAGATATTTTGTAAATATTATTTACCCCCTATTTAACTGGTTCCTATTTAACCAGTTAATTAGGGGTCCTGCCTATTTAAGAATAAGGAATTGAAGATGGAAGAGGAATTGAATTAATTCCAAAAGGTGCTAGAACTGAGTAGGATTAATGGTTTCGGGTAACCGCTTTATCGAGCACAAGGCTGACGGTATCCAATAATATAAGAGCTTAGTTGGTATGCGCTTCAACTAGCTAAATAAATGACTGAAGGCCGACTGAAGCTCACAAAGGAGAGGCTTTTGGGTGTCCGTGGGACTTCGGGATGAAATTTGGTAGACATGTAGATTATACCCTTTCTATTGTAAAACTTGAAACCGTTTCCGCTGAATGGTACCGTGGGCCAAGTTATAAGCCCCAAAAGTTATAAGCCCCCAAAATATAACATGGCCCACGGTACCATTCAGCGGAAACGGTTTCAAGTTTTACAATAGAAAGGGTATGATCTACATGTCTACCAAATTTCATCCCGAAGTCCCACGGACACCCAAAAGCCTCTCCTTTGTCAGTCATTACTGCCCCTCTTAATGTTTTCTTTTATTAATTTTAATAACAAAATTCAAAATATTTTTTAGAATATTTTGAAAATGAGAATAAAAATATTATTTATTTTAATTTTCCTTTTTGGAATTATTTTTAAAATTTTTGCTATGAATTTTGAAAAAGGAAGTAGTAGCAATTCAGTTGAAAGAAGTAATTATTTTTATGAGGACAACGGAGCTAGTAGTAGCAGTAATAATTTAAATACAACAAATTATTCAAACAAAATCCAACAAAACATTGAGTTCATTCAACAGCAAATTGAAAAATTAAAAGAAATATTTGAGGACTATCACATTAAGGAAGAAAGCCAGAAAATTAATAAGGTACCTTAAATGCTAGAATAATTACACTGGGCAATTATTGTTTCGACCTTTTGCTTAGGGGGTAATTATTTGAGAGGAGGTGCTAAATTTGGGGT